TTTGTTTCTATTTTGTTAAAGTTATAAATTTTTACTGTAATTTTTTAGGTATATTAAATAGTAGCTTAGGTGTATTAATTTTGTTAAATTTTTATCTAACCAATCAAAACTTACAATTTAATTTTGATAAAAATGATATTCTTTTTTAGTTACATTGTTGTTTTTTTTGTTAATTTATTGGATTTTTATTAAAAGTTTTGATTTGTTAAAACTTGTTTTTTTTAAGTGCGTATAAATTTTTCTTTTTTTTGATATTTTTGCATAAATTAATTCACTCTCGGTTGAATTCTTTAATTTTTAACAAGCTTAAAAGGAATTTAAAAACTCAGAAAATTGTTGAGAAGAATTATCTTAACTATACTAATCCAAGGCAACTGTTTTTGTGTTATGAAGCTCGACTTCATTACACTGAAAAAAAATCATTTGAATACACTTATTACTAGGGTTGAAGTGTAAAGAAATACATTTACAAAAGTTAATAATAAATCATAATAAAATTGTACTTGTCCGTGGAACGCATGAACAAATTGATAACTCGCGAGGTTAGAATTATTTTGTTCTCTCCACTTTTTAAAAAATTCGAGTTATTGATTGAGTTATGTAACTCAAAATGTTTTTCTACTATATTGAAACCTAGTTGTAATCAAAAAAGTTGCGGAGAAAACATTAGAAATAAAAATCTTTTTATGTGTCGTCTCAAAAAAATTTTATTTTTAAAATTGTTTTATCTCAAAACTCAAAAATGTGGAGAAAAAAGTAATTATAATCTCGCAAACTGTTAAAAGACTTAATGTGATAAATGGGGCTTGAGACATCCTTGATTTATTGTATTTACTGTAGAGTATGTCTTTGTTATGAAGATTTTCACTCTTGAGTTAGATATCATGCTAAATCAGTTTTTATTTTATAGACCAAAATAGTGATTTGCTACTTAAAGCGTGATTTGAATTGGCTTATACCAATGGCGTTGACACAGCCTTCAAAGTGGAGGGGGTCAACCCCTCAATTTCTAAAATAAAATCCATAATTTCTAAAATAATTGCCTATATTTCTAAAACAAAGGTCCTCGCTAAAAAAAAAATGGGCAGGCCATAGCTCCCTTGACGACCATGTATGCATCGCGTGAATATACCAACATTTCCTAAGGTATAAACAACTGCTAGAATGCAGAAAAATTCTAAAAAAATGGTTAAGAAGGATTTCTAGAGATACCTACATAGAAAATAAAAATATTTATTTATCTGAAAACAGAACAACTGTGAAAAAACCAAATGTTTTTTATATTGACAAAGATAATTTACTTTAGTTAAATTTACATAAGTTAACTGAAATATCTGACCCATACAAAGTTTGGAGAGCCAAAAATAGAGGAAAATTACTCTAACTGAATAACTAATTAGGTTAAAGGGTTGTTTTGAAATAAAACAACCCGTGCGACAAGTATCATTAGTTTAATAATTGTGAAAATTATCAATAATGTAATTTCCTTACAAATAAACAGTTTAACAATTGTTTCCTGAACTATTCAATAATTATTCCCTTGTAATTTAATATTACCTCAATTAAATAAACACATCGTGCCCCTTGAAACAAGGGGCACGATGTGTTGTTGCCTAATATGCCGAAATGGTCGTTCAAAGCTGCAAGAAAAACTTCCTCTTATAGAGCAAACCACTATTAAGAAAAAACCAAAGGTGCGTTGCAGCAAATGTCTAAGCCCTTTTAGAAAAGGTTTGCCCCACCAATGCTCTTAAATAATGTTAAGGGAAAACATTCAATCTTTAGCAGCAAAAGATGCCAAATCATGCGAACAAATCGCAACTCGAGTTATTTCCAATAAAAAATTATCTCCGGAAGGAACTATTCTACTGGCTAAAGTATCCAGCTGGTCTCCACTTACAGTTACCCCTGGTAAATATTTATACTTAAATAATTTTAATATATATATTGAAATAAAGTCTTGACTATTAAGAAATAACACTAGATAGATTTCAAGAAGTATATTTTTGACAAGTTTCTAATTTCTTTAAAAACGAATAATTTGAAAGTTTTACACAAACTTACTAAACAAAGTTTATTGTAACTATAAAATATGTATGTTTTGATTTAGGTCAAAGTAGTGCGCAGACACCATCAAATGCTCCGAAATTGACTACTGTAGCCCTTGTAAATGTGCAATTGAATACGGGCTTGTCAAACAACGGATCAAAGAAACTTGTTAGAACTATAAACAAAACATCAAACAGCAAGATGGTAGAACGAAATTTCTACATAAATTTTCTAAGACTAGGTCAACAATTGAGCAATTTCTTCACCTGCAGCGACTTAAAAATCACAGACAAAAAAACAGATCCTAGTACAGTTAATGTTATTGCTCACTGCAATGATTTATCAAGTCTTGTGAATCATGTTATTAAATCCCGCAAAATTTCTGGTGGCTATTTTGTTAAGCTCAGAATTGATGGTGACAAAGGTTTTTTCAAGTTTTGCTTTAGCATTGTTGATACTGCGTTAAGAGATGAAACCAGCTCACCGCACCAACAACAACATCTCTCTCAAAGGACTGGTAAAGACACTGAGTCAAGAGACAAGTTATTGTTGGGGTTTCAGAAGATTTGCCAGAAACACACTCCAATATTGAACAAATCTGGCCACTGATTAATGCAAATGAAGTTAAACTAATTTTGGCTTGTGATATGAAAGTTGCAAATATAATTTGTGGTCTTCAAACTCATTTAAGTACGCACCCTTGCACCTGGTGTGACGTCAAATCCAATTGTCTTGCCAAATCTGGAAACTTGCGAACACCAGGCTCAATTAGTTCAAGCCTTGAGTCTTTTCAGCAATCTGGCGGGGTTGTTGCAAATGCAAAGCTGTTTGGCAATGTCATTCGAAAGCCAATCATCTGCGGGCCTGTCAATGTTCTGATTTTGGAAATCATTCCACCGATGGAATAGCATCTCCTCTTAGGAGTTGTCAACCATCTTTTCAAGATCCTTAAAATTGCTTGGATAGAAGTGTTAAGTGGCCAGCCGCCCTCCACATTCAACTATGCTCGTATCACGGGGGCCAGTTTGAGGTAAATGAATGCAGGAAGCTTTTTAAAAATTTGGATATGCTGCAGCAACTTGCTGAGACAAACATGGTTCCCAATATTGTGTGCATAATTAAAGCATTCAAAAGCTTCAATTTAGTTGTCAAGGCTTGCTTTGGATACATCCTTCAGCCGGATTTCGCTGAAAAAATTGAAAATTTCACAAAGTGTTACCTAATGATAACTGGTGGAAGCGTAACACCCAAAACTCACGCTGTCTTCTACCACATCAGGGATTTCATCAGTCACAAAAGATCCCCCTTGGGGTCCTATAGTGAATAAACTGTCGAAACTTCTCATCAAGATTTTTATCAACATTGGTCGAGGTATAAGCGAAATAATAATCATCCAGAGTACAAAGAAAAATTGTTGCACTGCATAATTGATCTTAACAGTAAGCATCTTTAGAGAACATCATTTGAGTTAATAAAATTAGGCTGTTGAAATTCATATTTTACGGCGTATAATGAATATTTTCACCATCTTTAAAAGTAGTATTATAGAGTATTTGTATTAAAATAGTACATTGAGCTATTTATTAATAACACAGGCCAACAAAAAAATTTTTTTTCTGGTGCCGAGCAAACAATTAGTTTTTTTTATAGTTTTTCTCATTTTGATTTCGAATATGCAACTCATTTTTTACCATCACCTCTATTTTTTTTTTGTGTTTTACTAACTGGTAGTCCTTTGACCAGGTTTTTCATTTTTTTTAGCTTTTTTTTTTGGCAACAGTTTATATCTAAGGAAAAGTTGGTATATTTAAGCGAAGCATACATGGCCGTCAATGCCGGGGAGGCTAAGGGGTCATGTCCTTCTCTACTTTTTTTTTGCGAGGACCTTTTGTTTTAGAAATATAGGCAATCATTTTAGAAATTATGGATTTTATTTTAGAAATTGTGGAGTTGGCTCCCTCCACTTTGAAGGCCGTATCAACGCCATTGGCATAAGCCAATTCAAATCACGCTTTGAGTAGCAAATCACTACTTTGGTCTATAAAATTAAAACTGTACACGTACAGATAAAATAATTATAACAAAAATTGTTGGTATTACATAGTAGAACACTTATGTTAGCGTTATTTTAAAAATAGTAACCGAATTTCAAAGTAGTCGGTAACCTCAAGATCTCATCGAAATCGAAAAATATTTTTTTACTTTCTTCTAGTAATTAATACATATTGATTCGTGTTTCAGGAATATTTATTTTTTGAATGATTTTTTTTGCTATGAAAATCGCTTCACCCTAGTATTTACTCTTCGTTTATTTAAACGGCGTATTTTTTATGTTGTTCAAACTCTTATTTATTTCTAGGACAATGTAACGAGATTTTAATTTTTATTCCAAATGAATCCTGAGTGTCTCTAGTTTATTGGACATATTGTCACTTTTTTCAATCCTCAATTTGAGGGTTAGGCCCAAAATCGGCAACCTGTGTGCAATCTGTGCTTTTACTATTTACCTTATTTAAGTATTTTTGAAAATGTAATTATCCCAACTCTGCCAACTACTAGAACTCTGGTATTCGAATCTTAATATTTTATAATGTTCAAGATCCTTTTATTTTAGTAAACGGTTCTTTCTTTACAGGTTCTTTCTTTACAGGTTCTTTCTTTACAGGTTCTTTCTTTATAGGTTCTTTCTTTACAGGTTCTTTCTTTACAGGTTCTTTCTTTACAGGTTCTTTTTTTACAGGTTCTTTCTTTACAGGTTCTTTCTTTACAGGTTCTTTCTTTAGTATTTAGTATAGAAAGGTGTATACAGATTCAGATTCAACTTAATGCAGTTTTTTTTTATCTATGTTGTCTCAACTTATGGGAAACTGTCCTGTAAAAACTGTCCTGTAAAAATTAGCAACGGGCAAAAATACCTAAAAATATTTCTATTATCTATTTCCACATGTTTT